ATGTATGGAAATTGAACATGGACCAAAAAAACTGTATAAATGATTAAAATTTGAAAAGATTATACCTGTCTATATAACTTCATAATACCTAAATAACATTTGAATAAAGTTTATGAATTTAATTGATAATATTTATTTAATCTAACCAGTCATTTTTATAAAATTACGGAATTTCATACATTAAAGCTAACATATACATGTTAACATATTACATATGTATAGGAACTTCAAACGTTCACGGTCACCGATGTGGCGTACTTGGATGTGGAGGTGGCCGGTGCCGAGTTGGGTACGATCGAGATTGGTCTTTTCGGTGAAATTGCGCCAAAAACAGTGGCCAATTTCGTCACCATTCTAACGGAAGGCATAGACGGCCGCACTTACGCCGGGACCAAATTCCATCGGGTGTTCAACAAATTCGTCATCCAAGGTTCGTTAAATTAAATGATTTGAATGTTTGTTAAGTTATTATTATTTAGAAAAATTTAAAGTGATCTTATACTGTTATTAATACAGGGAAACATAGCATAGAAAATCGTATGTAATCCTGTGTTAGTTATTGGGTTGTTTTTTGACAATWTTTTTGTCGTTAGMTATWTTATTTATTTATTTATTTTTTTTTTTTGACAACCTATTAAAAGTTTTTTTGTAAATATCATAGAAATTAGGTCTTTGAATTAAACTGTTAGTTTGTCAGTTCGGAATTTATTGTACCCAGTTACCTACGCTTGAATTTTAAAAATATTTTTAGTCTTTATACGTAAATTTCAAATTCTAAATTCGCGTTATTTACTAAAGATAGTATATAAATCACAACATCTGAAAAATTAGCAAATGCATAAGGGACAAAAATTTACTTTTATTTATAGGTTATACTTGCAGCAAAGTTTACTATTTCTTTACGCTAAAAATTGCATGATGTTGTGTAAACATTGGCTAAAGCGTGTACCTACTATATTGTAGTGTTTATATGGTAAATAAACTGAACCTTAACCTTAACTTTTAAATTATAAATCCGTTTCCTATGTTGGTTAAACAATTTTCTTTTGTCGATGGCACAAAT